AACACGTGCCATGAGTTGTGTTTTTGGGTTTCCTATGGTGTCTTGTGTTTTCATATATAGTTTCCCGTGGTGCCCCATGGTGTTCTTTGGGCTTCCCATGGTTTGCCCATGGTGGCCTCTATTTCTGTTGCAGGGCGCATGAGAAAAAATGCGCTTCCCTCTGGTTCGGATCGGTTTGGAGGTTGGAGGTGTTGGAGGGGTCACGTCTCCTGGCTGCCAGGCTCGGTGAATGGGAAAACCAACCCGGAACACCTCCAAACACCAAGCCAATCCACCAATGGGAAGCTGAGCCACTCGCCATGTAAAAACTAAAACAGTTGCTTTTGCGGCCACGAGGGAACAAACACTTCCTTTTTGGTTTGGAGAAGGTCCATGGCTGTGGCAAATGGTTGCGGAAAGCCCTTTTGTTGGGGCTTGGTTTATGGGGAAACCAACAAGACGACCACCAGTTTGGGGCATCAAAACCCCCAGTTTGACTCACACATCAGAGTCCTGGCCTTTCTGTGAAACCCAAAACGGTGATCGCAATGCTTACCCACGCTGGCATCACGGAAAGCGGCCCTAAAACATGTTTTTCCCGCCACCTGGTTCAAACCTCAAGTGGCCTAAAAAGGGAACCAGCCTCAAGCCCAAAAATGTGCACTTGCTCAATTCACGGGGTGACCAAACCACAGGCGTTGCACATTGGTGAAGGCCTGACTTAATATTAGGCCCCACGATTCTACCCTTGCGCAACTGTCCTCCTTTTTCGTCCAAAAAAAGGATTTGCAACCTTCCATTTGCTTAAGACCCCTGGAAAACAATATGTCCAGTAGTGATAGATTCCCTTTAAAACCAAGAGATTAAAAACAAAACAAAACATATTCTTAAGCAAATGGAAGCGACCGAACGAATCACAGGGCACCAAACCTCTTCTCAGATCTCGTTCGAAGTGCCACACTGATTCTGTATGGAGGCGGAAGCACACATGTGCAGGAAAGATCTAGGTCAGCATCATGATCACAAGTCATGCACGACCTGGTCCACATACAGGTACGTGTCACAAATTTCGATCTGGACCTCCAAAACGGAAATGTCCTTTGGTTTCTCCGTAAAATCAACCGCCAAATGGGCACCCTGCCTGAAAGATCCGAACGAGTGGGCCAAGCCAACTGGTCCAAACCCAAACATGTGACTCAAGTCCAAGAACTCAGGGGAGTTACAGAAGACTCCGCCTCGGTATTTTTTCGGAGAGTCTTCTTCTGGGACCCAAGAGGAAACGCTTCATTTCGGGGCAAAATCGCCCATTTTCAGCCAAAACACCCCTGGAAGTGCCGAATTTTGTTTTTGTCGAGGCCAGTTTCCCCAAGGCTCATTTTGGGCGGGGGTTTTCTTTGAGCCAACCCTGGAGATGCCGAAACACAAATGTCGAGGCCAGCTTCAGACCCCAATTTCGGACGGTTTTTTTTCTCCGGGGAGCCAACTCTGCTGGGCGCCGAAAATTGGTGTCGACGCCTTCAGCCAACCAACCCCGGCTCGGCCTTCACGGCCTTCACGGCCCCCACACGGCCCCCCATGGCTTTCAAGGCGCCTGTCCCAGCACCGACTCATTGGTCTGCGGCCCCAGCACCAGGTCGAAGCTGCCGGGGCCGCCGCCCTGCAGCGGTTTCCGGAGCCTCGGCTCGGGTGCCGCGTCGGGAGAGGTGGCGATCCAAAAATAATCGTGGTGTGAAGACCGAGCGGTGGGGAGAAAAAAGGACACCGTTTCTGGCTGCAGTTGATTTTGAGTGTTTTAAAAGGAGCTTTCCATAGCTCACCTTTTGTGGCAGTGACTTTGTAGGGTGTCCCCCTCCAAAGAAACAATGGTTGATTCGGTTGAGGTGCGTTCCGTTGCCGAGATCAGGGTGACCAGATACCGACTCGCCGTGGAGTCCATCGGGTTTACTTTTTGGACCGGGGTCCTTTGAAGAAGCCTCCAAGGACCCTCCAGTGGAGTCTCATAGGAACAAAGTGCAACCTTTCCTAGATCCTCCAGTAGAGAGGATAGAATACGGGTACACTTTTTCTGTAATCTATTGTAGTAGGGGAACCCTCCCCCAGAAAGCGCAAAAGGGCACTACTGGGGGACCTAGTTTCTGCTTGGTATCACTCAGCTGCGTGGGCGAGTTTAAAAAGGGGCGGAATCGGCGCCCTTCCCAAAAGAAAGCGGAAAAAAGGCGGCGGAATCGGAGTCCACTGGACAATGGGCCACTGGGTTTCCTCCCCGCCCCCTGTCTCACCCCCTCAAAGAGAAAACAATGGAGGCGTCCCTCGCAATGAATTCCCAAACATACAAACAGGGATCCTCAAAGACACGCCAAGCTGAGTTCCTTCTCTGATTCTGGAGACACCATGAGGTAATTTCCAGGTGTGATCCAAGGGTGAAAACATCCGAAGCAGTTTACAACCACGGGCAACAGGGGTTTGTTAAATAGCTTGGTTGAAGTCTCCCCAATACCAAAGTGGGTGGAATCCTCCGTGGAAGTGATTTCCAGTCGGACCCCTCAATGCCAGCAAAAGGTGCCCTCAAAAATCCCGCACATCCATACTCAGATGCCTCGCGGGAAAACAGTTTTGTGTTGATTCCAATGGGAATTTCCCTTCAACAACAAAAGGACAAAAGGCCAGCGCCGGGGGTCTAGGCCATATCCTTGTGGATCAAATCGGGCTTCAATAGTCGAAGCTTGCAGTTTAGTTCCAGAAAACATTAAACCAAGACAACAAATCTACGATCAAACAACTGAAAGTTTCACTTTGGACGAGTCAAACACATGGGTGTGTCTTTTTTTCTTCATGATGGCTGGGTGCTCTTTTTTTCTGCTGAGGTCCTGTGCAAACCAAGCAAGAGTGCGTTCCGACAAAGGCACGCCTGGTCCACTCTCCAAAAGGAGGAGGCTGCAAAACAGTGCCGTACTGAGATGGATGAAGCCTTCTTGACTGGGATAAACCACCCAGCATCACCCAAGTGCAGTTTTCTAGGGCTATCCGAAAAAAATGTCAAGAGAACCTCCGGGAAACCCGGGGAAAACGGATCCGGTTTGGAAAGAATCATGGTTGAAAAGAATGCTTACCCCTTAAAACTCCAAGCCCTGGGGAAGTTAATCTTTTACAGACATATAGCCCATGTTAGCCAAAAAGTTGAAAAGTTGTGTTTTTAAGAGGTAAGAATGGTTGGAATCATCCCCCGAGTGCATTTTCCCAATGTCCAAACTCCCAGTGACCCGGCTGGCAACAAAGGCGGCGGTCGTTGATTTTGTACCCATCCACTGAATCCACTTGGACCGCGCCCCAAACAATTCCTACATGAGATGGATGAAATCCGAGCCATCTGTATTTTGTGCAATGCTCAGTGGATGTAGTCTATAAAATTAAACCACCAAGAAATGGATTCCTTTCCATTTACCGATCGGGCAACCCAATTGGGGTAGCTACCTACTTTTGACCACCAATTCACTCACCTCCTGAATGGACTAGCCAAAAAAAGAAGCCAGACTGTGCGCTTACCGCCAAAATGGTGAAAACTGACGACAGCCCATGTCAAAAACGTGGTGCCCCTCCCTCCATTTCTGTCCCGCATCCGGAAACTCATCCATCTCGTTTTCCCAGGGGTCCTGTTCCCTTCCAGGAGATACCTACACCAATCACACGAAGAAAGAAACATAAATGGCAAACTGTGGATGGTGGCCCAATCCATTTCGCACCGTTCAGAAAAACCAAGCCCTAACCTAAGCATCTACCCGAATCGGGTTTTGAGCAAGCTCGAGCGGCTTCCCTCCAGGAACTCTAGGTGTTGATTCCAACCATTATTTCAAGCTCACTTGCTAAGTGGATGGCCAAAAAAAAGTCCAAACTTTTTATTTACCACTAAAATGGTCTTCCCAAAAAGTTTAAAGTTCATGAACTCAGGAAGTGAGTAAGCCATCGTTCCTTTCAAAAACCCATCGCCATTTCCACCGGCTTAGCACGTGGCTCACTTCGCTTCGCCGCTTTCCCCGCGTTCGACTCGACTCGACTCGCTTTGAGACGAGGCGCTCATCGCCGGGCTCCAGCGGCAGCCGCAGCTCGCGGCCGCCGCTCTGCGGCACCACCACGCCGTCCGCCACGCGCTCCACGCGGCCGGCGAGCGCCATGGCCGCGCGCTTTTGGTTGAGCCGAAAGCCGAGGGGGAGGCGGCAATGAAAAAGAGACGTGGGGACGGTTTTCTTTGTATTTTCTTTCTGTTTGGGGGTACGTCGTTGTTGGTGCTTTTCAAAAGAGGTAGGGTCTCTTTTGCTTTGACTTTTCTTGTGGATACCCCCCTTTGTGAGAGAAGAACGCATTGAAATTCTGCAATAAGGGCTTCAACCATCACAATTGAGCACTCCAAAACCGTTGTTTGGGCACCCCCGTTTTGGCTGTAAATCATTCAAACACCCTCTTGACATCGGCCATACCGAAGGGTGATGTTTCAAGCCACCCTTGTCCATACTCAAGATGGGCACGTGGAGAACTATACCAACTTACTTCATCACACATAGAGCTCTTCGAAGGAGATCCCTGATTGCGTCACTGGGCAACCGACACCAGGGTTGGGGGTTGTTCAATCCCCCTTTAAAAAAGAATCAACGGGACCTGACAAGTGCCAAACTACAGACCTGACAAGATGGTAGAATTGCCAATCTTTTGCCCGGGTTCCAACAGCAGGCTTTCAACCCTCTCAAGGTTGGAACTACAATCATAGGTGTCCTTTTAGGGGAAATAGATGGCCCTGGTACCAGGTAAACCAGGGCCATCTATCTTTCTACCAAAACAACTAAAAAGGACACCTATGACTACAATCTTTGCCAACCTCCCATTCTTCAAATCCAACCTGGGTTTTTGTGGGTGATTGTTCAATCCCCCGTGAAACAGAATCAAGCAAACCTGACAAGAGGGGCGGTGCCCCTTTCTGTGGCGTGTCTCCTTGAAAAACGCCACGGCCCAAGCACTTGGCTCCGAGGCACGCAGGGCTTGCCGCGGCTCAAGCAGCGCTTCCGGAATTCGGCCGCTGCGACCTTCCAGATGGCCAGATACCCTGGGTCCAGTGAGGTGAGAGCAACCCGATTTTCTGCATCTATTTTGGTAGGGGAACTCTCCCCCCCAAAAATTCGTGGTAGACTACCACCTGCGGTCCATTTGGCTGCTTCCTTTCGACCCACACCCGTCTCTCGTGTGTCTGCAGCAAAACAAAAAACCGAGACGAGAGCCGCCGATGCCTCAGGGCAGCCCCAGGCATCTTTCCCCGGCGGCGCCAGCCAGGGCGGGGGAAGCGGAAGCGCCGAGGCCGCCGCCTTCGCGCAGCGAGTCGAAGGGGGCAGCGCCGCAGTGAGGCGTGCGGCGTGCAGCACCTGTCGTTGTCGCAAAGCTGGGTGAAGGAAAAAGAGATCAAGGGGGGGCTATGGGGAGGGGGGGGATGTGGCCATGGGTCAAAATCTAAATCGACCCCCATTGAACATCCCAATCCCCACTAATTAGTTTAAAATGGGTGGTGCACCTACCTGGTACCATTGATTTTGACCCACAGCCATATGACTCGTTCACGCCCGCTTTTCCTGGGCTTGTCCAGGATAGCCCCCCCAAGGCCTGCTGAGGGGTCCATTGAGAGGTGGCTCAAAGAGCTAGGGTTAGGGTTTGGTCTGTTCCATTCAAGGTACCAAGGTGTCATGTGTGGCTCTATTTTTGCCACAGTCAGATGTTTGGGGTGGGACTTCTTTGAATGCAGAACAGCACCGTGTGAAAGCCCTGTTGGGGGGAAGAAGGCACCTGTTTCAGGTAGGTGTCCTTGGGGCGTGCAATCCCCCTTGCCCCCCAACCCTGCCCTACCTTCGCCGCACCGGCTTCGGAAGGTTGCTTTCTTAGTGCTGCGCGCCCAAAAGAGGGATGGAAAACTGAGCCCTGCGAAGATAGGGATGCTGCATCTATCAGCTCATGGATCTTGTCCGCCCACATTTGTAGATGCATCTTAGTTCGACACCCACCCAGATGGCTGGTGGATATGAAGCGCAGCTCCAAGAACCCTCCAACATACGTTTTGAGCATGCCCCGAAACATTCCCCCCACACCCCTATGACGGAATCCTTATGGGTGGCTATGGTGGTTTTTCTAAGGTTCAAAGGAATTCTCTTCGTGGTCTTAATCGAACAAACATATCCATCCTCCTTTGGCTTCTTTTTGGAAAAATGAGGAAAGAAGAGCTCCTTTGTTGCTTTGCACCAGTTCTTACGAGGGGGGGAAAAAGGGGGGGATGTGGGTGGGAATGGGGGGGGAAAAAGCCTCGCCTCCCAGTGCACGCTCCGCCCAGAGACATTCCGGGCCGCGTAGTTGGCTTTCCGGATGCCGGCGCCTCAGCAGAGACCATCGGAGGGAAGGGTCCTCAGCCCAGCCGCCAATTTGTTGGGTTGGCTTCAAGCAAAAAGTCTTGGGTCTTAAGGTTTCAAGACATTTCAGTGTCAAGCAAGCCCCAGTCCTCAGCCAAGGCTCAATCTGCCAAAGGAATGAACGGCTCAAGGGGAAGGCCAAGCTCTCAAGGACTCCCAAGGCGAGGAAGCTCAGGGCAAGCTATGAGCTATACCTAAAATCGTATGCTACACAAGGGGTGAGGTCCCATTTACACTTTACAACAACAACAGCTTCAAATCCAAATCCAAACCAATCCAAACCACCAACTAGGAAGCTGATTCAGCTTTCAACCACTAAATTTCACCGCGCCCACCGCGCCCGCACCGCCGAACCCCTCTGGGCTGTCGCACGAATGGCGGCCACCGCATGGAGCTCCCCGCCCAAGCCGACGACTCCGCGCTGGGCGCTGGGCGCCGTGAGCCAGGCCTGGCCCATGCCCGACCTCGCCCAGCGTCCGGCGGCATCGGGCGGCGCGTCCCGCACGCGGCAAGCGAGTGGTGTCGGCACCGCACCGGTCGTTTTTTGTTTAGGTCGTTTTGGGGTCTGCGTGGCTGAACCAAGCTAAGTAGGTGGACTAACCTTGTGCAACTGGGGTTAGTCTAACTAGACGACGAGTGGCCCGGAAGCATAGAGGCAAGTTGATGCAGGTGAGGTAACTCTCGCAAAGTTAGCATGAGGAGTTGGCAGGCAAAGCAATTCTCAAAAAGTTGGCATGAGAAGCTGGCAGGTTAAGTAACTCTCGAATAGTTGGCTGGCAAAGTTGGCGGGTGAAGTAATTCTCGCAAAGTTGACATGAGAAGTTGGCAGGCGAAGTAACTCAAGAGAAAAGTTGGCATGAGAAGTTGGCAGGTGAAATAACTCTCAAAGAGTTGGCATGAGAAGTTGGCAGGTGAAGTAACTCTCGAAAAGTTGGCGTGAGAAGCTGGCAGGTGAAGTAATTCTCGAAAAGTTGGCACGAGAAGATGGCGCGTGAAGTAACTCTCGAAAAGTTGGCGTGAGAAGCCGGCAGGTGAAGTAACTTTCGAAAAGTTAGCATGAGAAGTTGGCAGGCGAAGTAATTCTCGAAAAGTTGGCGCGAGAAGTTGGCAGGCGAAGTAACTCTCGAAAAGTTGGCAGGCGATGTTGGCAGGTGAAGTACCTCTCGAAAAGTTGGCATGAGAAGCTGGCAGGTGAAGTAATTTTTCGAAAAGTTGCCACGAGAGGTTGGCAGATAAAGTATTTCTCGAAAAGTTGGCATGAGAAGTTGGCAGGTGAAGTAATTCTCGAAAAGTTGGCAGGTGAAGTTGCCACGAGAGGTTGGCAGGTAAAGTATTTCTCGAAAAGTTGGCATGAGAAGTTGGCAGGTAAAGTAATTCTCGAAAAGTTGGCATGAGAAGCTCGCAGGTGTAGTAACTCTCGAAAAGTTGGCATGATAAGCTCGCAGGTGAAGTAACTCCTCGAAAAGTTGGCACGAGAAGTTGGCAGGTGAAGTAACTCTCGAAAAGGTGGCATGAGAAGCTGGCAGGTGAAGTAATTCTCGAAGTTTCGGCATGAGAAACTGGCAGGTGAAGTAATTAACCCTCAAAAAGCTGGAGCGGCGGAGGCGCTCCGCGTGCTACATTTGCAATTTACAGTTGCGATTTTCCAGCCATTTGTATCTAAAAGTTGCGATTTTCCAGCCGGAGCTGCGGGAGCACGCTCCGCGTACTACGTCTGTACTTAAAAAGTGCGATTTTCCAGCCGGAGCTGCAGCAGCCTCCGCGTACTACGTCTGTACTTAAAAGTTGCGATTTTCCAGCCGGAGCTGCAGGAGCACGCTCCGCGTACTACGTTTGTACTTAAAAGCTGCGATTTTCAAGCCGGAGCTGCCGCGGACCAGGGGGGAATCGAACCCGGGACCGCGGGATTGCGAAAGCAGGCGCGCGCACCACGAGACAACTTCCAAAAGCCGTTTCGCGAGCAAGAAAATCGCACGGCGCCACAGCGAGAGCGCTTCGACACGCACGATCTCCGCAGAGGGTTCGCCAAGGTCAAGACAAATTCGCACGGCGCCACAGCGAGAGCGCTTCGACACGCACGATCTCCGCAGAGGGTTCGCCAAGGTCAAGACAAATTCGCACGGCGCCACAGCGAGAGCGCTTCGACACGCACGATCTCCGCAGAGGGTTCGCCAAGGTCAAGACAAATTCGCACGGCGCCACAGCGAGAGCGCTTCGACACGCACGATCTCCGCAGAGGGTTCGCCAAGGTCAAGACAAATTCGCACGGCGCCACAGCGAGAGCGCTTCGACACGCACGATCTCCGCAGAGGGTTCGCCAAGGTCAAGACAAATTCGCACGGCGCCACAGCGAGAGCGCTTCGACACGCACGATCTCCGCAGAGGGTTCGCCAAGGTCAAGACAAATTCGCACGGCGCCACAGCGAGAGCGCTTCGACACGCACGATCTCCGCAGAGGGTTCGCCAAGGTCAAGACAAATTCGCACGGCGCCACAGCGAGAGCGCTTCGACACGCACGATCTCCGCAGAGGGTTCAAGGTCAAGACAAATTCGCACGGCGCCACAGCGAGAGCGCTTCGACACGCACGATCTCCGCAGAGGGGTGCGTTTCGTAAGCTCCCGTCGGGCCTACCCCCGCCATAAAAAGAAGAAGAATTAAGAGTCGAGATGTGAAGGTAGAACAGAAAAGTTAGCTTGTGTTTTTAGGATAGTGAAGTAACACCCGACAAATTAGCTTGTGCTTTTAGTAGAATGAGATAACAGCCGAAAAGTTGACATGAGAAGTTGGCAGGTGAAGTAACTCTCAAAAAGTTGACATGAGAAGTAGGCAGGTGAAGTAACTCTCGACAAGTTGGCATGAGAAGTTGGCAGGTGAAGTAACTCTCGGGCATGAGAAGTTGGCAGGTGAAGTAACTCTCGACAAGTTGGCATGAGAAGTTGGCAGGTGAAGTTGGCAGCCGCTTTTAGAAGAAGAACCCTTCGCAATGCTTCCGGGAATAAAAATAGTTGTGACCTTGAACATCCAAGTGGAATGTGCTGAAACCCAGAAACGGGTTTAGAACAGGGAGAATCTTGACTCGCACCCGGATTGGCAAAAGACAGGTCGAAGTTCTTGCTCGTCTTCATGGCTCTCTAACCGGTTGATGACCATCGCTAATGTCATTATCAAACAACTCGTTGCGTGGTCGCTGATGGCACTTGAAAATCCACTAACTCCCCAGAAACATAAAGTTCAAATAGCCATAAAGGCTGTTCACCACTAACATGGTCCAAACAAACCCAGTTGTGCGGAAATCCCCCACCCTTGCTTGCAAGAAAGCAAACCAATGGCCAGCTGATAGCAGCTACTCGTGTGTCAAGACCATAGAAGAAACGGGTTGCAATTTATGGCCAAAGTATCTTAACTAGGTCCTCCAGTAGAGAGGTTAGAATAAGTATAAGGGTACCCGATGTGTTTTTGTTTCTTCTTTCTGTAGTCTATTTTAGGGGAGCCCTCCGCCAACAAAGTTGGTAAAAGGGCCTAGATCTTAGCCAATTTTCTGCCACTTGGATCACCCACGTTGCGCAAGTGCTTTCACTTCTCTCCAGTGTTGTGTTGAGTCCGCCAATTGGGCCGTGTATTCACCGGGCAAGTTGGGTGATCCAAGCAATGAGAGCAAAAAGAAACGTTTCGGCGGTTCCTGTGCTCAAAGCCTCTTGATTGGCGAGCCTTTCGCTCTTCATACCTTCCAGATGAATCAATCTCCACTTGATCGTCTTCGGGCCCAATTTTTTGGGAATGCCATTCTTCAGGGTGAAATGCACACCGTGTTTTTCATGAATGGCACCAAGAGTGGCCGTTTCATGTTGGCTCAAACGCGACACGAGGCTCTTAATCTACGCCCTTGTGAGCCTACCTTAGACCGCAGGTGGGCACTCACAACAAGATTCTTTAAAGCTGTCCAAAAAATGGGCCGGGGATTCAAAGGCTTTACCCCACAAAGAGCCTGCTCTAACTTGTGTGGACAGGGTGCGGGCAAAGTACTTTTAATGGAAGCTCCGAGCAGATACTACTAGATCATACCACTTCCCGTTATTGATCTTGCTCCCAAGACCCCTGTCCACAAAAAACATATTCGCAAGATGACTGTCCACTCGTGACGTCGTTATAAGTTGCCGCCCCCACAAACCACCCAACGAAGGGTTGCCCGTAGAACCTGCTTGGGGATCCCGGGTGCTCACGTGAGCCTGAAAAGTGAACCCACTCCGAAGTTGATCATCATTTGGGTGCTTGTTTTTTGAGGGCACCCTTTGTGTTGCCGTATATATACACATATACATATACTAGGTCCTCCAGTAGAAAGGTTAGAATGACCGACTCTTTTCCTGTTGTCTATTTTAGGGGAACCCTCCAACAAAGAAGCGGTGAGAAAGGCGCCAATTGCTGGGGGACCTAAAATAGACTAAAATGGGTGGTGCACCTACCCCAAAATGGTACCATTGGTTTTGACCCACAGCCATACTACCTCTTTCTTTCAGGGGGCGGGTTTTCTTCGTGGGGTTTGTGGGGAAGTCGTCTTTTGCGAGCTGAGGCTCAACTCGGTGGCCATCTTGGGGCACTCCATGGCCAGCGTCTCCAGGAAACGCTCCGCCGCCGGCGCCGCCGCCTCGCGACTAGAAGAAAACTAAAAGATCGACCTGGAGTCTCCTTCGGACCCTTCTAGGTGAACTACAATATTTCACCATCCTGAAATAAGGTGGTTGGGGGGACATTCCCCACATAAACCACCATTTGGGGTGAGGTCATGGGGTCGCTATAATTCACCCAGACTGTTAAAAAATGGTTGGTCATGACACAAAATAATGGTTGGTCATTAGGTAGGGGCAGCTTCCATTTCCATTCTTTCCAGAAATCCTCCTTTTTCAGAGGCTCCTGGGGCTTTCCATGGAAGGCCCGACCCCTCCAGTAGACACCCCGGAGGTGTTTGACTACCTGGAGTCTCCTTCTGACCCGAATCACAAATAGGTCCGTCACACCATTATTTTAGGTAATGACCAACCATTTTTCATTCGGGTCATGGAGACTCCAGGTAGGGGCACCTTCCATTTCCATTCAGAATCCAGGGATCCGAATCTTTCTAGAAAACCTCCAGAAACCGCGGGGAAAACGGATCCGGCTTTTGGTACGAACGATGGTTGAAAAGAATGGGGAATCAAACCTTAGAAAGAAGACATGTGCTGAAACGTTTTGACACGTAAGAGGCAAGTCTCCCCCTACTCCAAATACGATCTTTTTTTAGGGTATGATGTCGACCCTCTACTAAAAAAGGAGGTATTTACCATGGAAACGCAGGTTTTTCACAAAACATACCCTTAAAAACGTGGGTATTTGGAGTAGGGGTTCTGGGTTGCCTCTCCGCCGGCACTTACGTCCCAGTGTTGCTGTCAAAACGGAGCAATGTCCCAGTGAGCTTGCCAAGCAACACTGTCTGCCGGGACGCTGAAGTCCATAGCTCCAGAAGCACTCAACTCAGCAGACTTACCAGACTTATGACGGGCAGCTGGGGAGCAATGCGGCAAAAACAAACCCTGGCCAGCATATGCATGGGACTAGCCGGTATGTTGAAGCAGCAACTAGATTGTCATCGCTTCTTCTCAGGTCCTTTTTTTGGGGGGGTAACCTGAAGTAGGATCCGGACAGCCCACACTGGACCCTGGGGTATATTCTGGAGAGCGACCGAACGTCAGGGCGTCCAATGAGCCGGGCTCATGCGAAGGACAAGGGTTTCGGAATTGAAGCTTCGCCGGCATCTCCGACATGTCTCACAACGCAAGCCCTCTTTTTGCTTGTGCCCTTGTAGCCAACAAAAAATGGCGAGGCGCAAGTGGGCACTGGAGCAGACAGGCAAGCAGTAGAGGAGTTCTTCCGTGCAAGCCCTCTTCTGCCCTGCCCAGACAGGAAAGCTCCGCAAGCGGAAGTGGCTTTCTTGAGACCAAGCCCTGACCAAGTTGCACAGCACCAAAAAGCCCCCAATAGACAAGGACTGAGGATCGACATGTGAAGTGTCGAGCCAATTCTTCTGCCAGCAGACTAAATTGCCATAGCTGGGCATTTTCTGAACAGGCAGGGCTCAAGAACGCGTATGAGTTTGTGCTAAACATGAAAATCAGTCACGCCTAAGTCGCTTTTTGGGGTTGACTTGCAAAGCAAATACACTTGCCTGATTGATAGACATGCTGGTAGTTCGGCTGCTAGACACATGGATGGGTCGAATGCCAAGCTTCTGCTAGATTCTATTCCATTTACAATGTTGGGGAGGTATTCAACGTGGCAATCGTGATTGGTCCCCATTCACATGGAGACCTTCCAAAAGTGTACTCCTGTGCAATGCAGTTATGAAAGCATTTCGGGCAGGAGCTTGTTTGGGAGGCGTCATCTAACGGTTACCATGTACCCCACCAATCCAAGCCACCAAACAAGACTAAGGTGAGATACTGTGGATGGACGAAATCCTGCACCACCTCAGAATCCCTGGAATGATGATTCCCCTGTAAATACCAACAAACAATGGGTTCTCATGGTTTCAACGTGGTGCAGGATTTCGTCCATCACAGTATGGCAAAGGTAACACAGGTTTGGCCTGAATGGCCTTAGCGCCCTTCAGCAGGAGCACAGACAGCTCCAACCTTCGGCAGACAGAAAGAAAACCTTCGCATCTCTCCTTCTTCCGCCGAGCCTCATGAAACACATGCAGAAATGCGTCACAATCTAGGTCCTCCAGATTTGAGAGGTTAGAAGAAGTTGGTACCAACTTTTTCTGTAGTCTATTTTAGTAGGGGAACCCTCCCAACCAAAAAAATTGGCCACGCACACACACACACACAGACACACACACACACACACTCAGACACACGCACGCACAAACACACAAACACACAAACCCACAAACCCACAAACCCACAAACACACAAACACACAAACACACAAACACACAAGCACAAAAACACAAAAACACACAAACACACAAACACACCAACACACCAACACACCAACACACCAATACACACACACACACACACACACTCACACACTTTCGCAAGATGCCGAAACGGGTTTGGATTGCTGTCTTTGTACGTGGGATGCCCGCAACTCGCGGGCAATGTCCACAACACCACATTTTCTCGCAATCTTTGGGCAAGGCCCAAGCACCATCTTCGTGAACGAGCACGCTCGTGGGATGACCATCAAAAAACACTTTTTTGGCAATCAACAAAAAACTTTCAGCCATCAACAACAAACTTTTTTAGCAACTTCCCACAATCTCACTCTGCTGCTTGTATATTCTGTTCTTTTGGTTGGCATTTGATTTTCTGGTTCCTTGAACACCCCTGGTCCCGTGGTGTTAAGTTTCGCGAGCCAAGGGGGGTTGGGGTCAAGGCGCGTTTTGAGGCACGGACAAAAAATGGTTGTTTTGGGGAGGGCCGAGCTTACATGCAAGTTTCTTGGGTTGAAAAACAGCGCTTGAAAAAACGCGCAGTCAATGACAATTTTTGCATAGAGGCGATTTCCTGGGGGCACGCTTTTTGCTTGGCCAAGAAGCGCGGCAAAATGTGTGGTTGTTTTTTGATATTTCCGTTGCTTGACACGGTGTTTCGCATATATTTTGAAAGATGGCTAAAGATGGGGTTAAGACTTCGCAAGAACCAGGCGAGGCTATGTTTCTTTGGTTGCACATCATGCGTCAGGCCAGCTGTTCACCAACTGTGATTTCACTATGGGTTCAACGTAGGGGGCAAACACCAGGAAATTCAAAAAAAACATTAAGAACACCTCCGTCATGGGGCAGATGGTTCTGAACCACTTCAGAAGCATTGTGAGCCATTACCAGAGCCCTTACTTTGCAGCCCCGTCAGAAGTGCTGGGAGAGATTCTAGGAACCAAGCTTGGGCAATCAGTGCGCACATCAGTTGCGACAGCTTCATCCCGACCACGGGCCCTGGAAATGCCCCTGCGTCCACCAACTGCTGAAGTTCCGGCACAAGGCATGTGGTTACTGCAGTTGACGGTTGGAGGACTAGCAATTGGCCCAACAGTTGCTGTGTCACTGCTGCATTGTCTGTGAACGTACGAGTGGCTGTAACGCTTGGCCCTGGGGCTCGCGCAATCTGAATCCGTCCGCTGTTTGTGTCATGGTGGCGAACCGGGTAAAACCTCACGGCCAAATCACTTGGGATCAGGTCATCCATAGCTCGCAGCTTGAGTGCCAGTTGGAACTTGAACGGCGAGGATGGCAAATGAACAACTTGGAGGACAACCGCCAGAGTGCGTTTGCGCCGTTTAAAGGGGGAAACAAGGTATGGTACACAGACAAGAACGGCGCTTTCTTTATAACGTACGCACGTTGCTTATTGAAGTGGGATGAGTTGCGGGCGGATCACGTTGAGAGCATCTTTCATGGTCAAATTTCGGCATATTATCAAGCCCTTTTGCAGTGCAGCCCTGACAAGCGGCCAGCGGTGGTGCCATGGAAGCCAGCAACATTCTACCGTGAACTAATGACTGGCAACTGTGAAGGCGCCGAACAGCTGTCGAGCTCATCGATGACTTTTCCATCGAACGTGTGGGTAAGGTGCAGAAGTCGTCCGGCATGTGGGGGGGTTTTGCCCCCCCCTGACAGCGACTGTGTAAAGCCAGCACCTTCCAGAGGCCAAGCGCAGCTGCCAAAGGCGAAGCTGCGCCAAAGCAGGCAGCGGCACGCGTCGGGCTCCAGACGTGGTGATCGGCGCCCCAAATCTGTGATGTTCGGTGAGTTCGATATCAGGTATTGAAACCCCTGCCGTTGATCTGTACAAAGCTTTTTGCAAGCGTCACAGTTCTGAGCAGGACCAATGTGTGAAATCCATGCGTGTCAACCAAGCCAGCACGCCAGAGGCTGTGGTGCGAAGGTTGAAGGCGCTTGAAGCCTACAGTTGAGGACAAGCATAGCCACGTGTTCTTGACGATGGTCCCGGTAGAGTCGTCGACTGGCACTGACGCCGAATTGGACGAACAGCTGGCCATGTTGACAGGCTAGGCAAATGTACAGGCATCGTGGCTTGTTCGAGCTGCGCATTTGTTTGGCGCAGAGAGCATGTTGTAATGTGAAAAACGATTCAGCGTCTCCAGTGCCATGATGTCGGACCGGCACTCTTGGTTGTGTCAACTGATTCTGTTGGGCCAAGGTCAGTGCCGTCATGCGCGAAGCATGTGTGTCTTTGTGTGGATGATGGCTCAAGAGGTGTGGTAGTGATCTTGACAGACTGGCACGCATGTTACCATCACTTGTACCTGTGGGTTTCATTTGGAGCCATGGCCCCACACACATAGTTGCACCATGATGAGTGACACTGAACCCGAGCATGCGTTGGACGAGCAGCCATGGAGCCAGATTCTGAGGCTGACTCAGCCAGCTCAAGCACAGCTCAACCAGCAGTGACGAGGATGAAGCCGGCCAGCATGGAGGCGGTCGGACGAAACAACACGAGTGTGATAATCGCGGGCCGTGCGTGCGTGCGAGTGGCAACGTTGCGTAAATCATGCCTTCACGTGATGCTCATCAGTTTTCTTGCAAATTAACGGAAATCTGAGAAAAGTAAAAAAAACCTGACGATCAGTAGGGGATCAGTCGGAAGCCCAAGCCCAGAGCAAAATCATGGTGCACCAGCCTCCAGAACACGGTAGATCAGGCTTCCAGTCGGGGACTCCCAGCCTTTTTTGGCACGAACCATGGTCCGCGACAGATCCGCGACAGATCCCCGACTGATCGTCAGGTTTTTTTTTACTTTTTTTTCGAATGTCCGTTTCATTTTGTTTTTTCCCATTTGATCCGTGTTTTGGTGTCCTCGGGCAACAATTGTCGAATTCCTTTATCCAGACTGGTACGGTATGGGCACCACGACCCAGTCCCCCCCCCCGACTGTTTCCCGACAGGTCCGCGACAGGTCTGCGACAGGTCCGCGACAGGTCCGCGACGGGTCCGCGACAGGTCCGCGACGGGTCCGCGACGGGTCCGCGACGGGTCCGCGACGACTGGCCCCCAACTGGTGCCTGACTTGACGGTTCGATTCCACCCAATTGCCACATCAATGGTTGCGCCAGGCGATGCACGGCCCTTGGAGGGTCACAATCTTTTGCCTCGAGCCGGGTTGCTGGCCTGTGGAAGGCGATGCACCGCTTTCTGTGTGGTCCTGCGTCTCGCAGTGATGACCTTGTCGCAAGCCAAAAAAGAAGCGCACCCAGCACGTGTCCCGAGTTACATCCCCTCTACAAGCCCCCAACTCAATTCTCTTGTTGGGGGCGGCGGCGTGTTGTATTTTCGGGTTGACCGGGTTGCCCGAGTGATGTGATCGATGAATGCTTTTTTCCACTGGCTATTTAGAACCATTCTGTTATCCCGATTTTTGAGATGAATGATAACTAGAACGGCCTTATTTTCTCACAAAGGATCCGTGACACATGCCAACCCAGGAGACACACCTTCAGGCTTGGAATTCCGCATTTTTTTTTAAATGTTTGGAGGTGCCCTGTTTAGGGTTTGGGGTGTTGCTTCTTTCGGTTAGTGGCCGCACTGAGTGGCCATGTTTGGAGGGGTCGCTTTTTGAGGCTTGGGGTTTCGCATGTTTATATGTTTGGAGGTGCCCCTTTTTAGGGTTTATGGTTTTGCCTTTTGTGGCGAGTGGCCGCACTGAGTGACCTCTTGTTATGTTTGGAGGCGGCCTTTTTTGAATTCCTGAGGCTTGGGTTCCGCATGTTTTTCAATTCGTTTTAGGGTTTGGGGTTTTGCATTTTGTGGCGAGTGGCACTGAGTGACCCCTTGTTATGTTTGGAGGCGCCCTTTTTGAATTTTCTGAGGCTTGGGTTCCGCATGTTTTTCAACTATGTTTGGAGGTGCCCCGTTTTAGGGTTTGGGGTTTTGCCTTTTGTGGCGAGTGTGTCTTTGTGAATTTTCTGAGGCTTGGGTTCCGCATGTTTTTCAATTATGTTTGGAGGTGCCCCGTTTTAGGGTTTTTTGGCTTTTGTGGCGAGTGGCCGCACTGAGTGACCCCTTGTTATGTTTGGAGGCGGCCCGTTTTGAATTTTCTGAGGCTTGGGTTCCGCATGTTTTTCAACTATGTTTGGAGGCGCCCCTTTTTAGGGTTTGGGGTTTTGCCTTTTGCGGTGAGTGGCCACGCTGTGTCGCCCCCCTTTGCTCTTCTGTTTGGAGGTGTCATTTTACTTGACTCTCGGGGTTCCACATGTTTTGTATGTTTGGACAACTGTTTGGAGGTGGCCGTTTTTTGGGGGTATTGTTTTGTGCAAGTTGAAGTGCCTACAGGCAACTTAGCAAGACCACCGCAGTTTGGCTTGCTGGCAATGAAACGTCCTGCTGCCTCCACGGATGGTGGCTCGCTTGCAGAGAGCGAGGGGCTGGACTTCAGCATCTTTGAGGATGATCTGGTTCTGGGCGCTCGCGAGGGGGATGACTCAGCTTCGCATGAAAGGCGAGGAGGGTGAAATCAGCAAATCAAAACCACCTAGGGCCAAGCCTCCAACTTTTGGGCAGGAAAAAAGCGTGTCTTTTTTGCACCATTGCCATTGCGCAGGTTGAGCCCGGCAGGGATGACGCATGAAACCAGGCAACGCAATCGTGGCTCGGCTCGAATGTGTC